AGCTATAATTTAGTTGAGGGCATGTTTAGCCTGATGGGCTTCATCTTCATTTTTCTATTTTATTTTTCTCATTAATGAGTAATTAGCTCTTAGGTGCTTATCTCTCAAGTTTACATAAGATTTACCTGAAAGGTAAATTTTTCACATAAAATTGTTCTTCTCCATGTTATTGAAATTTAAAATACATCAATAGTAGATCCTTGGGTGTGCCAGGTATGTGTCAGTTGTGCATTGGTGATGGTGGTGAAGAGCAATGCTAAGTGAGGCCAGCCTCTTGCTAAGCAGGATTCAGGAAGCCACTTTAAGGTAGTGAAAAAAGACCCTAGCTCACTGATATCTAAGAGGAAACTCAGGGATCCTGACAAAGTTACTGAAAGAAGCAAGAGTCCTTGGAGTAATAACTCTTCCCTAAAAGGAGATATAAATATGCAAATGAGTACGATGGCCCCCAATGGATAAAAAAAAATATTTTTTCAGGTTTGTGGGATAGTGATCTTAACTGGTTTTTAAAAAGCAGAATACAATTAAATGTGTTTAAAGATCGAGTTGCCTTTTATTAGCAATTCATGAATTGGGCAGTATATTCTGTGAAATAGGGTCTCTGCTGAACTGAGCAGAGGAGGTAGGCTTTATAGGCAGAAAAAAAGGACCAAAGAAAGCAGAAATAAAGAACAAAATGCAAATCATTTGTTTCAAAGTTACTTTCCTTTCAGGGTTAAAGCAGAGGGATTTTTTATTTCTTCCTACTGGCTCAAGTTGACTAGGCCCCTTTAAATTGGTTGCTGTGAATCTCCTGGTGTTTGTTTTAATTACACAGCACCAAGTAACCAATACAAATGACTCTATTCTGATTTGTTCTGGTCTTTTGGGATCTACTGCAGGGGCACAGTCCAAAGCAATTATGTCTGATAAATGATGCTTAAACTGGTAAATAAACCAACTAGTTATTCTGAGAATAACTTTCTGTCACTAGAAAGGGATAGTTAAGGGAATAAAAAATTTATGAACTTAACAAGCCTGATCAGTTTAGCATGGGAATTTCCTTAACTACATCCTTGGTGAGTGGTATGCTCCATCCCTTAGCAGGTCACTACAGCTGTTGCAGTAATCACTCAATGAAGGTAAGGAGAACACTGAAGTGGGGATTTCCACAAGACCTGTCAAGATTTTGATGTATTTTGATGTTCTTGGATATGTAATTTGGTATCCATTCTTAATTTTGCAAAACACACACACACACACACACACACAAAAGAAAACAAAATTGTCATTATTGCTATTTCATTCTCCCTGCTTCTTCTGATATTCAAATTATGCATGCAGTTATATACCTAGTATTCTTTGATAGCTTTAAATGTTCTATTTTTGTTTTCTTTTTCTTTCTTTCATTTTATTGAAAGTTTCCATTGACTTATGTTCAAGCTTGCTGTTTCCATAGTTTTGCCAGCTATACTGTAGAATTAGTTGAAGGAATTCTTGTTTTTTTGGTGTTTTGTTCTGTTTTTTCTTCATGTCCAGAATTTCTTATTTAAACTTTTAAAATTTCCATGTATCTGCCTGAACTAAGAAACTATTTTTGATTGTGGTCCACGTTTTTTATGATAACCCTTAATAATTCAATCATAGTGATATTTAATTCCCTGTCTGATAATACTGATGTCTATTTCATATTATTTTTCTCCTGTATATTGGCTTGCTTATGGTTTGTTTTGTTTTTTGATCTTGATAGAGATATTTTATGAAAGGGCTGAGGTAAGTAGGAATTTAGTATGAGGATTTATGCCATTTTTACTAGGAACTGACTGAAGCCTAGGTTTCATAGGCTTCCAAACATTGTACACTTATTGTTTCTGGCTCTCTTCTTGGCTTGCTGCCTTTTCATGCAATGCTCCTGATAAAGACTTTCTTTTTTACTGACTTTCAACCATAATCCACTGTCACTATATTATTGGTCCATTGATGTGAAGGAAGTCTTAGAGACAGAGGTGGTTTATAATCTCCTAAATAAGGGTCAGACTTAATGGCCTATGTCCATGGTTTTGACCTTCACAAGTATTTTTCTGGGTATATAGGTTCTTCCCCCTTATTCCCTATTCTTTCCTTGACAGTAATGTTCCTAATCATTTCCCTTAGAATTCTGGGGAGGCCTATAATTGTGAGAAATCCCTGTATTCCTGAAGCGACAAGGGTTCAGATTTGAATATTATAGGAATCCTTTTGCTGGGTAGGTATGTCTAAAGCTTTAGGCATATTTAATATTGAATACTTCCCCTTTCTACTTCTTTATGCATCTAAAATCCTCACTATGGGAATATGGCTGTAGATCTCTTGAAAGCAGGAGGGGAATGAGAGATTTCTTGTTTAAACTAAGTAGTTATCTATACTGAGCCCCCAGGACTTCACTGAAATTTTATTAAATTTCACCTCTAATTTTAAGCCCCTACCAGCTTTTATTCCAGGTTAGCAAATCTCAATTGACTATGTATCTTGATTTTACAGTAGTGGTAGTCTCCAACATCATGACATTGATATATGTAAGCTGCCAACTTGTCTCTTTGATCAGTTTTATTTCCTTATTACAAGTATGAGAATGAGAACATTTAAGATCTTCATATGTCAGAAGTGAAATCAGAAATCTTATCTTCTAAGATTTACATCTTCAAGTACTATGGATCATAAAACAATTTGGACTCTAGTGGTAATTGTGGTAATATTCATCTCAAAGGTTCATATGTCTATTTTTTCTCCCTAAAAATAATACAGTTATCTGTAAAATTAATGATTTTTCATAGTACTATTCAGCACATAAAAATGGATAGTTATATATGGGTTGGATTAAACTTAACAACTATCAGTGTTTCTGTTTGTTTTTGCCCCTCACTCTCTTGTATTCATTGGTGATTGGATACATGCATATGTCTCTTATTCTCTGATGTATAAGATTTCAATGAATAGAATTTTTATTCTAGTAATGATTTTCTTGATTTCTAATGAGTATATCTAACTAGCTTGCACAGGTAGTTAGGCCTATAAATGCTTAAAGAAATATGTATGAAAGTCATCCTACAAATGTAAAATGAAAGAAATATATTATCATTTTACCCGGAGAGAAACATTGCTCCAGTTAAAAATAAAGTGATTGTTACAATCTCTTTTGACTACATGGAATCCAACAGGAAAACTGAGATAATGCTCTAGAATCAAATAGCCCTCAAATCTCAGTGGCTTGAACAGCAAGCAACAGTTTTAATGCTCCACTTAAAAAATGTTTTTTTATTTTATGATAAGATCTTGCTAAGTTGCTATTCTAGCCTTGAACTTGGTTAGCCTCCTGAATAGGTCTCCCATGTAGCTTGGATTAAAAGGCTCTATACTGGATCCCCACACTGAGGTTTTTGTTTTGCAGCAAGGAGAAATAAATTTTCATGGTACATTTTAATTTACATTTTAGCTAATGCTTCTGCTTCCTGTCAACCTCATTCAAAGATTCAGACAGCAGAGCGCCACCTTTCAGGGCTTTTCATGATAAAAGAATGAGAAATGGTAAGCTGAATATTGGATATTAAATTTTTTTTCCAGAAATGATACACTATGCCTCCACTAACATTCTATTGCCCTAAAGGAGAAAAACCTTTAAAGACTGTCTCATATGTTATAGTGCATATAAAATGTATTTATATGTTAAATAGATAAGTTGAATGAGTTTCATTAGAACACATGACTAAGATACATAAGTTTAAAATTTTTCTTCTACATGTTATATACAGCAAAGAACTTACTAAATTTATTTCCATATATATGTCTGAATATCTATGGGACAAGATAACTAGATGACAAACATTATTCATTTGTAGGCTCTCTTCCCACAAATTGTGATAGGTAATTCATCATAGGGTGCTTTTCCATCACTCTAACTACTATGAAACATGACTATTACCATTAGTTTATAGATTTTAAGTAACCTGACAACATTTGTACAAAATTGAAGGGGCAGAAGTATAATGGGAATCCAGAATGCTCTTTAAAATGAGCCTGTCAATGGTGATAAAATGTAGTTGACATATATTCCTGAAAGCAAATTAAATGTTTACTAGAATTTTTTCTTTTTCTTTTTTTTTCATTTAGTGACCAAGAGTTAAAGATCCAGTATAAGACAAATATTCTTTCAAAAAAAGGTAGAATCACAGAATGTTAAAGATTATGCATTCCATATACTCCAATTAATAACATTGGGGAAAATACTGAAAGGATTCAAGACTATTTTCACAATATATCCATTTCAAGGGGGCTTAAAGCATAGGTTGGTGATTCCTTTAGACAGAGACTATGAAATGATTCTCTAAAGTATTATATAACTTTTTATTAAAAATATTTTGCCTAATGTATTTTTATTAACTACATTGTAAATGTATTTAAATATGTGAATGTAATATATAATATGTTTATATATATATATGTATGTATAGACATATATATAAATGCTGAGGGGCCTGCCCTTCCAGCACCAACTGCAGGGAGCTTAAGGGCATGGAGAAACCTCTCTGGATACAGTTTCAGAGAACAGTGTCTGCTTTATTGCACAGCAAAAATAGCTTTTATAGTGGGTATGTGCCAATTTGCATATAACAGTCATGATAGGCCAGAGGTGATACACAACATATCATCTTATGTGAGTCCGGACACCACCAGCCTAGAAACTGCCACACAGACTAACCTTGCATTAGCAGGGACATGACTTTTTTCAAGGAAGCAAGGTGTTCTGACAGTACTCTGTCCCAAAACATAGTGTTCTTTGTTAGGACTTCCCTGCTGCACGATGAGCAAGGTAAGCATTCCTCCATGAGGGTTCAAGGTTAGGCCCTGCAACATATAAACTTTCAAAGTTATTGAAAATAAGACCTATTCTCTTCATTACTTTAAATATTTTATAATTTAATGAATTTCTGGAATACTAATATAATTTTGATGATATATATATTTACATATATATATATATATATATATATATATATATAGAGAGAGAGAGAGAGAGAGAGAGAGAGAGAGAGAGAGAGATGTACTGTTTTAATATTGTTAAGACTTTAAATTTTTTCTCAAGTAAATGATCTTTGTAAACAGGGACACATTCCATGTTATATCATCAAAGGAAGGAAGGTGAATCAATTTGCCATTTCACATTTCATAATATGAGCTAGAAACACACTCTCTTCTGGGTAACTAGTTTC